GCTCCACTGGGAGTTTACAGGAATAAAAAAAAAATGACTATCCCTAGGGTACAAACATTAAGATTGTGGGCCTACAGCATGTATTTATTAAAAACCTATACTAGTTAATCAAAATTTGAAGTCCATTTAAATTTATAAAGAATACATTTGATGTTCTGGAGGTAAAGAAAACTTGCAAACATTATGTATCAGACAAAGGTTGCCTTCCTTAAACAGACATTTTCAAGTGATAATATGAAAATTGGAAGTTTTGAGAAACTTCTTGAAAATTATATATTTATAGCCTTTCAGGTTTCTCTTGTGAATTTCATTTTTAGTAAAAGATATTTTTCAAGTATTTCTGTCAAATTTGAGAAAAAAAGATTTATAATTTTTGTGTGAAGTAGTCTTTGGAGTGGAGCCAGTAATTAGATCCAGAGAAAGTCTGTAATTGTACCAGATTCAGGTTTGATCTTTTTTTTTTATTATCTTCTTCAAAAAGCTAATTTTATAAGTTTGTAGTCATATCTGAATTAATGTGGTTGAAAGATATATATAGACACATTATAATGGACTAAAACAAAATGCCACTACAACCAGGATCAAACAAAAAAAGAGAATTTATTAAACTTTGACAGCCACAGAAATCCAAAATAAAACTTTCAAACAGTTGGAATATAAAGCTTATCATTTACCAAAAACACAGTAAATAAACCTTTTTTATTATTATTTGACCCTGGTTGTAGCAGTGTTTTATTATAGTCCATTACGACATTAATTATTTATAAAATGTCACAGAAAGAAAGTAGATGAAAACATTTGTTTTAATCATTTATTTTCAGCTGATTAAAATCTTGGTAGTAATACCACATCAAATGCTCAAATAGTGCTAGTTGTACCCATGATTTAGTTCTGGAATTTTGTAGCTGGTTAACTGGGATTAAATCTGTGTGATAACACAAAATATATTCCACACTAAGCTATGAGTGCATTATAAGGGTGACAGGCAATCTCTTTGTATAGGTGGTAGGGTGCTGCTTTCTGGCTGCCTTCCCTCTAGTGAGTAGTTCAAATTTAGGAATGGCATAAGATAAGCTTAGTAACTTTACCATTAATAAAAAATACAATACAATTACAGCATTCATAAATGGCTCAGTTAAGTGTAAATGAAATAGTAAATGTTTCTGGATTTAGTAGATGTATTTACAAAACATTATCTTGATATCAATTTATTGTATTGTAATTAATATCAATGAAGTGTGAATACATAAAAATGAGCACAGTTTAACATGTCAGGTTAAAAAAACAACTCTTTTTTTTTATTTATTTTTTTCTAGCAGTGCTAACTGAAAAGTAGTTGATAGCACTCACTGGATAAAATTAATTATTTATAGTATTATTGCAGAAAGTTAAAACTGTTTCTTGTGTTTGATTTTCCAACTCTAACTAGTTAAAGGATATTTAATCAAAAGTATTAAGTCTTTACTTAAAATTTTGTTACTCAAAAGAAATTGTTTTATTGTAAGTTACAATCAATAGGAGAGGTTAAACAAGAGCTAAAGCTACCTGGTTGGGGATTCAAATTAAGGCTCTGGCTTGTAGGGCCAGTGTTCAACTGTAGTACCTCATTATCTCTGGAAATTAAGTGCAAGTCAGCCAGTACCTGGCTACTCTAATCACTATAGTATATGAGCTACAGTTTAGAACTGAACTTGTATGAAGTTTACAATTTTACATATTATGTCAACAAACCTTCTAACCACTTTTTTAAAATATTTTTAATCATGTTTCTTGTTGCTGCTATTTAACAGTATATTTGTGATACATTTTTGAAATATGAAACTTTTATAATGATTATTATTATTTTTTTTTAATATCAGCAAAATTAAGTATAGACTTGATTTTTTTATTGTGTAATAACTTCTCTTGTTATCTGTTCTGTGGGTTTGAGAAAACAATTTACAAAATGATTGGTGAAGCTAAACATGAACTTTATTGAGTTGCACATGTTCTTGTAGATTTAGTAATCTGATATTCATGGTATTTGTATTCATATATGTGGGCATTATCTGTAATAAAATATTTTTTTCATATTACCCAGTGTATACATGTACTATGGTGTTGTGATGAAATTAGATTAATAGGAAACAGTTTGTGACCAGAATGCTGAAAGTCACATATACAGGGTAGCTCAAAATGAATTCCACATACCATAGGGGCTTTGAATTCACAGCACTAGTAGGTCTTTAGCCCTTATTTTTTCATTAAGCATTTAATGTAAAGCATAACAAACAGTAGGTCATTAGGTTTCTTTTATTATCTCAAACACATCTAAGTAAAATGAAATATACTGTCAGATATATGTATGAATCATTTATATTTACCACGGGAACTCACCTCAAATATGTACCATGTTCATTACATTTTCCTACCTTTCTCCTTTATATAAACATTTTACAAATTATTGTATTTGCATAGAGTGAGTAAAAATCTTGACTTGGATGTTTCATCAGAGTAAAAAATCCTTTGCAAGTTAGGTGTAAATAATATTGTAACTATTTCTGAACTTCTTGAGCATAATGCATTCTGCTAAGTGCTCTTTGTAATGTAAAAAAGTAAGAGTACAATAAACTGAACAGGAAATTTTGTATACCTTTTATATACAATTATTATAAAGGGAGTTTTGCAGCTCAGCACGTCATATCTCGTAGTACTGAGTAGGAAGATAAAATTGCACAGGGGTGTTATGGGTTTATGCAGATGCAAATCCCACAGATGTCCTATGCTGCCACTATGACCTAATATCTGATCAACTGCTCAAAATGTGCTCTTCCAGTGTTCAGAATGCACTGCTAAAATGTTAAAACCGACCTTGTGGCAACACAAATCTCATCTGGTATGCTGACCACTTCCGTACAGTTAATTCTTAAGGTCTTGACTTGTTCAAGGCTTTCCACAGTACTCACATGATTTTAGGTGGCAATTCACAAGGAAAGTGATGTCAAGTGATTCTGTCCTTAAAGTGCTCCAACAAGACTTGTTTCACCTGATTACCTATATGCAGAGGGACACCATTGTGCATCATATTTCATTGCTAAAGCTCTGTCTGTGTAAGTTTGCAGTCCATGTGTTGAAGGTTCTTTTAAAAAGTACAGTACAGTGGAAGAGCTGTAAAACTAAACCACTGACACCATAACATCATGAAGATATGTAGGAAATGTCATGTGTGGATTAGTTTTGGAGCAGATAATGCAGTTGTGTGTGTGTTGACACTTACAGAAAGGGTGAAATGTGCTTCATCAGTCCAGAAGATATTGGTCATTGACTTCCAGTCTTGCTGAGAACTGCAATGCGTAATAAACAAGTAGTTTTAAATTCATCTCCAGTGCTTGATTGTGATGCAGCTTGTAAAGAAACATTCATAAAGTTAACTGAAGAGTCTTAAGAGAACAGATGAAATTAGCAAATCAAAACAGTGGGCGATGTTACAAGCACTGCTGCACCCATTTGCACTTATGCTGGCTTGTTCTACTACAGCATGACTTATCCCAACAGTAGTTTCAGTGGTCTACCTGTACATAGCTTCAAAAATGCAACCTGTCTCCTCATGTTTTTATGAACTTCTGCTTAGCAACACTGGAACAAGGCCCTCTACAAATGTTATTCCCCAAGAGTTGTCTCAGCACTACACCCTTTGGTGTAATAATATTTCACTAATTCATCTATCTGAACAGTTTTCAGTTTCATTTATTGAGCTGGATTACAATCAATAGTCCCATTGAGACCCATGAGAGATATGGAAAAGAAACCACAATTGCACCCCCAGGTGGTAATGTAAAAACTGTGTTATTTGCATCTGCATAATATTCCTGAGCATCTTACCTTCTTCTGACGGGTATATATATACCATTCAGTCTTGTGTCAGTACTTGAATTACATGGTTTATTAAACTATAATTGATACATATGTAAACAGTCAACTGTGTCAGTAACCAGAATAATGTATGAAACATTTTAGTTATTTGAATAATTCTACACTACCAGTAATTTCATAGTGGATTTTTGGAAACCACTGTATATTTTTCATAAGGTACACAAGAACTTCACATTGGAATGCAGTTTCCTCTTTATTTGATGGTGCATTAAAAAACACTTCGCATATATTTACTAGTCATAAGTAAAAACATTCATTAGCAGGACATCCTTTTTCCATGGTAACCACATCAAACTGAATGATGAAGTTTATGCTTCATTTTGATTTGTCTTACACAATTGTTGTGTCATGAAAAATAGTCTTTTTGTTTAACTAGCAAATCCTGTATAATTGTGTGATGAATCATTTTCTCGGGAAGGTTCATGACCATAAGCTAGAAATATATTAATTTTGTTTTTTTTAACCTTTTTGTTTCTTGCATGTCTTCTTAAGGTATATTTTACATATTCATATTTGCATTAGTTTCATTTTTTCTTGAGAAATCCAACCAAGGTTATTTTACACCTTGGTGCTGTGTAAGTACTCTATTTTTACTTCACAAATTACTTTTTGAAGTATAGGAGTTTAATTACAAGTGTAAAAGCAAAATATTCCAGTTATAATCATCAAGATGACGTTGTAACGTCGAAACATGTAGATTCAACTTTTTGAAGGCCATAGATAGGCCTAAATAAAATGTTTTTAATTGTGTACCAGTTTAACGTTGAATATTATTTACGATTTCAACTTTATACACAAGTGCCAAAATACTATAATTATTCGTTATATTTTACAATTTTCATATGTAGAGGTTAGTTTGCAACATTCATTGAAAATGTTATAGAATAATGACCAAGGATGCAATTTTTTAAATATTTTATGATTTCATATGGTAAGTTTACAACTAAAACTGACAAATGGGGACATTTTTTGTGTATGAATATTATTAATATATGTTTATAGCATCATATTACAAAATTCTTTAAAGATGATTGTAACAAGAAGAAAAAAAGTTCTAAAAATTACCACAAAATGAATCTTAAACTTCTTGCTGTCGTTTTACAAACTGACAGGATTGATTTCTTATCAAAACTAGTAATTAATAAAGTGCTAATTTGGAAATGTCAACAACCATAGTCAATAAGTAGGTGAAATGTGTTTTCTAATATCCAATCACTTAGGCTAGGTTCACAATATAAAACTACCAACCATAAAATGGTTTTCAATGAAATTACTATTTGTATAACAGCATGCTTTTTACCATCTGTTTCAATAATACAGGTGCACTTTATCTAGCTAGAAAGTTTTAAACAAAACTTCATGTTTTCTTTACGTAACAAATATTACTTTTAAAGTCATGATATGAATCCATCTGTAGACACTGGTTAGAAACTTGTTTCAGTATATTTATATATGCACTGATGAAAAGTGCATAGTCTAATAAGCATTAACATTGCGACCTGGGCAATAAGAAAATAATTTTATACAACAAGTATAACAGAAAGTTTCTTAACATTTTTATTTATTTGTAACACTTGGAATGTTTAAAACCACATGTACTGCCAAGTCCAAACCTGATGTTTGAATTAAGTTCCAAAAAGTATCATGAAATTATTACAACTATACATGAACGAATCAAAATCCCATTAGATTTCAAACAAAGAACTATGTTCCATAACTTGGTACAAAATATTATTTCTTCAGGTTGCAACAACACTTTAAATAAACTAAAATTCTATACATCTATTAATTCTTAATTCCAAAGCAAAATACTAAATAAAATAAAAAATCAGCTCTTTACACATTGATTTGCTTCAGGTGATATTACTTTTTCACCTGTGACAATAGCTTTTTAACCCATTCAGTCAGTGTGTCTATTATCATGGATATTATCTTATAAAATTGCTGTATATAATTTGGATCCATTTGGTACCTTTGTCCATTTTTTAAACAATGGTTATATATGTTATAACTATTTCTCCTTTTGTCTTTTACTTTTATGATGAATCATTTCTTAATACTGGTAACATAAAAAAGTATATAATTTCAACATTGATATGAAAAAATTCATGACTAAATGGGTTAAAATACCAGCATTGTACATGATAACTGACTTAACAGGATAGTTATTTCTTTTTTTTTTAACCAGAGGTGGAATTATCTTAAAATGCCAACAACTGTCCAAGTTAAGGTTACTAGTTTGAAACAGGTAATGTTGAACACCAACAATTTTATTCTATGGAATTATCTTGTTCAAAGACAATATATTTCCAATATTATTTTAATGAACTTTAAGTATTTTGTCTTGTAAGTAAATGCCAGATCACAGCAACAATTATAAACATTGTTTCTCAACATCATGTTTAAAGACAACTTGACAAATCCTAGAAGTTACATTTAATAGGAAACTGTGCACTCTACAAACAAGCTATTTAAACAGATGTTTAATTTAATGGAATGTTTTCCAGTAAGCTGCGTTCAATACTTTAACATCTACTTCATTCGTCTATATGCTAAAGCTCCAAAAGCTATGACACCAACTACAACTGCTACTACTCCAATTGCAGTTACACCTCTTTTCTTGTCGCAGCAGATTTTACATAAAAACCCAGCTCTTTGATGAAATGTCTTCTTGTATGCCTCTCTCTCTTGAACTTGTTTGAAATACTGAGACAGGTGAGGTCGTTTATCTTTAATTAAATAACGATTAGAAAGTCCAAGGTCGCTTAGACGTTGAAGAATCAATGTCAAGATAATATCAGGGATAGCAAAGTTTTGCCAACATAACCACCAGGAGCTTTTATCTAGATAGATAAAAAGAAGTTGATATTAACAAGGCAAAGTTTGTTATCCTATACAGAATTAATAAGGAACTGTACCACTGTAAATGAGCATTATATTCATTGGATAGAAATGTCTCACACTGACAAACCTACTTGTGCAAGAAAATGAACTAAATTGGAAAATTTAAATTTCTTACAAATTTTAGAGAAATCTACAAGATAACCCTATACATTACTTTAAGAACATTATTTTATAAAAATGTTTTTTAAAACAAATCAAAATGGTAGTTCTTACCTCCTGTATGTGAAGCTAGTTCTTGTTCCACAATGTCTAATGTTACCTCCAAATTATCTAGAGCTGTCTTTACTTTGTTTCCATCTTGGAACTCGGATAAAAAAGTCTGTAAACGTTGTTTCTTTTCTTCATACACCTCTTTAAATTCTGGATATTTCTCCATCAACTGGTCCAGATTATTTGATATATTTGACATAAAGCCTTACAGGAATATTTAAAGAAATGTAATTAATCACAAATTTCGTGAAGTAATTTAAAACTGAAGACAAACAAAACTACGAAATGTGAAATTTCAATATTCATTATAAATGGCCATGCCACTGTTAAAATATTTGAGAAAAGATATTTATGAAATTTTTTCTTAATTAAAAAGGAAGAGGACTGATCACACTGAAAGTAACTACTTTGTCAACAAACATAAAAATTACAAAGCACTTCTTACAAACCAGGCTGATGGCAAAGATGAAAGATTTAATTATTAAGAACCCCTCGAGCTTACACAGTCTGTAACAAACATCTAATATGAATAGCCTGTTGAGCTCTGGTACCGAGTAAAAAACTTTGTAAGCAGTTTCATATAATAGATAAAGTAGTTAAAACTGAAGATACTATTTTACTCCTTTTCTTAACAGAAACTGAGCCAATGAAAAAAACAAAGATTAAAATTAACAATCCTTTTGTCATGTAATAACACACCAGTCATTAACTTTAAGTTATCGTCATAAAGAGTTACTATGATTTATATGTACAGATTCTTGTATAAAAAAAAGTGCTTTACTGGCAGGCTGCAGCTGCTAAAGATGAATCCTTTAGATCAGTTGGTAGAGCACTCATTTTCTGCTTGAAATGTCTCAGTCTGATCCCATTTACAGATGATGCAAAAATGGGAATAAAACAAATGTTAGAAACCATTATATAGCACTAGAATGCAAAAGATAGACTCAATTAGTGTAGTTACTCAAATTGTACTGGGTTAGCTGGAAATGGTTCTAGTTTGATAAGCAAGAGTAATATCACTATAGATTTACACTACCATACTAAATTCAGAATAAGATATCTGTGGAATTGAGAAGCGAGGCTGAGGTGGATTGGTCATGTGAGGAGAAGAAGAACAAGCAATAAGGAGAACATCCAAGCTGCCAGTAGTTGGCAAGAAAAGACAGGGAAGACCGGTAACTCATTGAAAGGATGGGATTAAAGAAAACACAAATGTGAAAGGAATTGCAGAAGATCTAGCAATGAACAGAGATGATTGGAGGAGGGCAACATGTATAACGAACAGCGACCCCTGCTATGGGGAAAACCCGAAGAAGGTACTGAACTAAGAATAACAATGCTCAATTTAGACAAAATAAATAACTTACTTAAACGTTTTTTTCTTTCACATGAAGAAATCTTCATATCAGTAGTCAAATCAGGATGATAAAGACACCCAAATGTTATCAAAGGTATAGGAACTACAACCAGAAGATCTCTCATCTTTTTCACGTGTTGTATTTCTTCTGTTCCTTTTTCTGGCATCAGCCGTGGAGTGTTTCCTTAAGATCATGATAGTTGAGAAAGTAAAATAAAATTACACATAATTAAAGTAAAATAACCTTTCATAGACAAAAAATAACTGACTTTTAATATACAACCAACATCATATTCATAACTATACACCTGGAAAATGTTAAGCACCCCCAAATATTTTTCAGGATTGCTTATTGAAAATAAGGTTTTAATTTTCATGATGTTGAGCAATGTTCA